AAGTTGTCACAAAACCGCTTGTTAGTTGCGAGCTTGGCACTCGAGCGACAGGCTTATTGCTCGCTAAGGGAGAAGGCAACGCTCGGCGTATTTATCTGGCCAATTCTAGTTCGCGATTTTCTTCGCACTTTGAAGTTCTATTCAATCTAGAACACTAAAATAAGATATATCCAAACCATAATTCGTCCCAAAGTGTGTTAAATCATTATTTCATGTTAAAGATCATATTATTTAAGATCAATTACACATCTAAAGATCTCTTGGTTCAACTATATGATCAAAGCTTCACAATTATTCCCAAATATATTTTGCTATCGGTTGAGCCTACATTTTAGTCAAGAGAACATTCTTTGAAGATTATAAACTTACTCTATCATTCTCTTGCTTCAACTAAAGATCACAACATAAAAAATCATAGATTAATCACCAAATACCCTTATTTTCACCAATAAGCTTTCAAAGTTCTGATGTTTGGGAAGAGACAACTTGGAGTTCCAGTTGTTCTGATATGAGATTCATTCTTGGTGTTCCACGTGGAGTCTATAGTTCTCGAAAGTCCAAGTTATATAATCGAAGAGGTTCTTCGATTATTTACATGTTGGATGGTCACAGTATACTCATATTTTAGTTGTGTTTGGACCAACTAAGATATCTTTTATAGTTGATCTTTTTGACAAGGTTTGCCCGAAAAGTTTTTATCCCTCTCAAGAGATCTTTAAATGATTTTCCTTCATTATCAATTTTTTGAGTTGATTTACTTTTTCCTTCTATTGCTTTTGATCTACGTTGTGTGATTGTTTAATTAGGACTTACTATGACATTAAACTTAATAATAATCTAGATATAATAATTTGTGACGTGTTGCTTATTATTGTTTTAATTTCGCATGATATACCCTATAGGTGTAGTTGGATATAAACATCCTATTATTTCAATGTGAAATAACATAACATTCAACATTTTTTTTATCAATAAATTCTACTCATAGCTAAATCAAAACAAACACATCTTTTCATTAAATTGCAATCCTTTAGCGACAACCAAAGTTATTCATCAAACAAGCAAATCATAAGGCACAAAATTAAGAAAGTGAAAATTAAAAAAATGAAAAGTT